TCGTTCCGTTTAATTTTTCATTCTGACGAATTCAGATAAATAATACGAGTCTACTGTTGCTCTGTAGGTTTCAATTGTTTCTAATTGCATTAATTACTCAACCATAAAAGTCGTTTAACGTTTTATCTATGCACTCCTGCTTGTGAATTATTGAAGCTGATGGTTTAATATGGTTTACATGGGTTGATGCAATCATTATCTTCCAATAATTGGATGGAACAATCGATCCTTAGCTACTCATACGTTGACAATGTGAATTAACCTTCTGGCTGTTCCATCTGACACATTTACCGCACTTACCTCACAGGTATCTCTGCCTATTCCATCAAGTACTCACTGTCTTGATGTCATAAGAACTTACTCAGGTAATTGCTATGAGATAAAAGTCTACTATAAACCCGCTAAAACTGATGGGTACATCCGCATTTTGACTCGCATAAACATATGGAAAACAGAATAAAATACGGTTTCGTATTTTTACCAACGTAAAAAGCAATAAGAACAATGGGATGATTAACCAACACCGACGTTTTCGCCACGGTGTTTCACGAAATTTCCTCAGCGTAGGTGGTTGGTAGAGTTTCTGACGTTTTCCTTGTTGGCCGCGGCGACTGGCAGGTTTTAAGTCAGAAGGCCTGTGTCATGAAGTCAAAAAGCAAGATTTTGCCGTTTTTCCGTATGACCAGCAACGCGTGAACGAGATACTGAAACATAAACACATAAATAATAAATTATATGAATTCAGCGTTCTGAATCAATGCAGTAATTAATTTCTTAAGGAAAAATAAAACAGGTTAAATCTGCCTCATGAGATAACAATATCAATTTTGTTAAATTCAATAACTGTATTATAAACATACACAGCATAGCCCATGTTCTATTTAATGACGAAGACAAGTTGGTCAAACGGATGATTAACGAACACCTACTGGTGAAACATCAGTTCTAATCTTTTTTTTATCTCGTTTTATTTTTTTCCCAGTACGACCACAAACGCATGCTGCATTTTCCATCATTTATTAGCCGCAGAGTAATGTACTATAAATTGAATTGTAACAGCAATAATCTCAAAGGTACGCGACAACGAATAACACATCCAAGACAAGATTTCACGGAGTACTGCATCGCCTCCTTTCTCCAAATTGCCTATAAGAGTACAGGGCATTTAAGCAGGCCGCAGCTCCATAGCATTTGAGCTTGCATCTGCAGGGTCAGATATATAATATATCATTATGGCCACTAGCGCCACCTTGTAGTTATCATGAACGATGTTTCGGGAGCTGATGCTCCTTACGCGCTATCGCATGAACACCACAGGCTATTTGTATGCCAAATGCATGAAATAGCTGCCTATGTTTTCATCTTGGAGTACCGTTACCGAAAAGTACAGAAAGAATCAAAACTAGGGAGAGAAAGAAGCATTAAATAATGCGATAAGATGTGTATCATTCCTAGAGAAAAATAAAGCCCCATTTTATGGGTTTACTAACTTACTGTTAGTTATTACCTACCGCCGCTAAGATATACAATCCGTTCCAGTTATTGACACCGGATTTAAGCTGCATATACACCGCCCCTTGCTTCTAGTGGCCTGGGACACCGTTTAAGCAGGCCACGACTACATGGTATTTGACCACCTACGGTGTGCATGGATGCAAAACCGCATCACTACGCAGGGCTGAGCAAGCGCCTGTTCAGACATCTGCAAATATGCCATGATCCGTGGGCATATTTTTAGAGAGTTTACTAGCTCACTGCTAGTTGTTAATACCATCGCTAAAATATATAATCCATTGTTGGTACCGGATTGAAGGGGTACCTTTGACATCTGATGCGGATCAAATGCCATGGAGTCCCGGTCTGTTTAAATGGTCTCTTAGGCCACTAGAAGCAAAGGGTCGGTGCTCACACCGCTTCAGTCTGATACCAAAAACTGAAAAGGTGTATTATTCTGTAAGGAAATATGGCTCTAATATGTCATTTATTTTCGATGAGAGAGCAACTCTTCTTCACAATATTCTCCTACGGTAGTTTGCAAAGACAGTCCACTAGAGAAAGCAAAGCATCTTCAAAAGTCTTGCACTGAAATGTCTGAACACGGTCCTGTAACTGAGATGCGAACCATAAATCTTCTTTCAAACGCTCCATTATAATTGTTGGATTCTGATGGGCTTCATGGATATATACAGGGACCACAGGGAAACCGGCTTTATGCAAAAGTGGTGCCCAGCATCGTCTACGCCTGGTCGTCTACCTAAGATTTCTTGACGATATGTTTCCTACGCAAAATGCTCCTTGCATCCTTGATCGACCTGTCCTTTGAGTTTGTCACTTTGGAATTTTGTGAAAGGAATAGGACACTTAAAGAATAGCTATATTTATTACGGAACAAACCAGACAAGATAATTAGCTTCCCAGACGCTCTTGTGATAATCATTGAATCCTGGAATGAAAAGTCGCTTGCCTCATTCTCCTAGGCACCTGCCTGTCGTTCTACGTAACTCAAAAGATGAATTATTTGCCCAAGGGATTTAACTATTTTAATTAAAATGTTTTAACGCCGTTGTGGTACTAAGCTAAACAGCCAGAGTTACACCTTCTGCTGATTGCAACATTGATTAAGCAGCTCTCAAGAGGGTCAAGGTGAATTCTCGCTCTATGATCAGCTCGCATCGGACAGCACAGGCGTATTTTGCCGCGCCATTCTGATTCGCCCATTCCAGAACACCATGCTTCCCATGTTGCTCGCAATTCAGTGACTTCCTTCCGGTTTTCGAGTGATTGCACTGAAGCAACGTGAGGCAAATGCAGTGCTCAAGAGAATTAGTTGCCAAGACAAAGATCCACTCTTCTTCAAGTTAAGCCCAGCACGTTTGAAGTACAAAGCAAACTACTCACCTACTGGATCATTACTCATGCTGTCACACAGTATGGTATCGATATCATACCTTCCATCTTTGATATTCATTTGGCTCTTTTAGTGTCATTATTTTACAGGGAGCGGTCAAAGTTTGTACAGAATATTAATCAAGGCACGACTAGAAACATTCGTCGGTGACAACTAGCTTCGAACGTAATGTAGCAGCTCTTGGGAAATGAGTGACGGCTGGGAGGCCATCGGCTAACTAACTTAGAAATTGCATCTTTGATCTTGTCACTCAAAAACTCCATACTCTTGGGCTGTAACTGAAGAGTGCTTAGTTTGCCTTGTACTTTATAACTGATGATGACGGGATTGTGATAGGATTGTATCATAACGGCGTAAAGCGACAGAACAAATCTGAATTGAAGGATTTTAATACCCTCTGCTAATAATGGCAAATCAAAAGTAGTTTATGCAAAACAGAACTGTATTATATAAGCAATTGACAGGGTAAATAGCAAATATGGATCCTTTAAAAGTATTGTCAGTGAAAATATAAGCCACAGAATGCTTGACTCAACCAGTTACAAATTTTCACTAGAATTGCTGCATACCTTGCCTCTTCTTCCTAAGAGTCGTTCAAGCAGGCTACAATGGTATTTCCGCACCTGTATGCTTAAATGCATTCCGAATTATTTGATTGGCAACTATAATACCTTGTTTATCTCAATTAGTCCCTTATGATTGACGGAAAATCAAAACCGTAGCAAAAGTTTCGTAAAGCTGACGATCCTTTAAAACTAAAAGTTTAGCCATGAAAATTAATCACTGAATAGATGGATCGGTGATGCTTGAAAGAAAGAAAAATGAATGAACAGATGAAATGATGAATAATAAAAGAAAAAAACAAACACATAGAAGAATAAAACAAGAAATGAAAGATACGATACAGCAGGATAAACGAATGCATGAAAAAATAATTAGAGGAACACTAGGAACATCTTTTAATAACCTTTAAATATTTAGCTCTGGTGCGGAAGACACCGATTATACGAATAAACACAGTCTTGATTCTCTGCCCATAATTCATCAAAGGACTGTATTCTTGATGTATGGTTAGGAAACCCAAACGCGTAAAGCAGAGATTAAACGATCCTTCTAATCGTTAATCTACTTATGTTTGCACTATCCAGCCATCCATTTAATAGCGAAACATTTTTATCCTCATAAAATTACAAGTTAGCGGCACTTCCCTGAAACAGTAAATTAATTTTTGAAAAGAAGGTGTCGGAAATGATAAAGGAAACTTGGTAATTTAGTGTCAAGCAATAATTTGTGCGCGAATGCATGTAACCTCGTGCACAATATCTGAGGTGGTCTCTACCTGAACGACTTAAGTAAGGAGGGAAAATTTTACGTGTTATGCACTAGCGATTTTCATAGGTTGTCTATACGCTTGAATATGTCAAATAATAAATGACTCCTCCATAACCAGATTTCACGACGTATTGCCTTGCTCCGTTGCTCCCGGTTGCAAAGCGAGACCATGAAGGCACGCGACGGTTCGATGGTGTTTGAGCACTTGCGCTGACAGATGCATCGCACATCATTTTCCTCTCTAGAGTCACATCCCACTACCTGCGAACAATGTTTCATCAGCTGAGACTCATTGTTTGATGCCACATTAATACTGTAAGCTGTTAGTATGCCCGAGCTTGTCGACTGACTCCTTCATGACCAGATTTCGCGGTGTACCTCACCACCTTGGTCCTGGTTGCCGAACAAGGCCAATTTACTAGGCCAAGACTCCATGGTATTTGAGCACTCCAAATCGGTATCGCACTAGCGATAATCATAGTGTTTACCCATAACCAGTTAATTGAATGCGCGTATTATCCCAGAGAAAATGGAGGTAAGTCTTTTTGTTCATTTTCTTTCCGGTCTGCATAAATTTTGAAGCAAAAAAAAGAAAGTCTGATCTGACAGAACCTCGCAATTATGCAGTGCTTCAGATCAATAAAGACATATTCTTATACAAACAGATTTCAGTAAACAATATCATGTCAAAGAAAGGAAAATATTATACATTAAGAGGCAAATGTTTGCATTTGGCTATCGGGACTGGGCGACGTAAATTCTATCCGTTGTACTGCTGGTTGCATTTCGGCGAATCAACCGCGCAAGTCCTCTGCCGATTCAACAGGGACGCTGGCTTCGAGGCTCTGGCCCTCTTGCTGGACGATTGAACCATGGTGATTCTGGCGTAGTCGCCGCTAGTCCTCATGTGATTCCTGGCGCCGCTACCGAATACCCTTCGGAAGGCGCTTCGAAAATTTCTCGAGAACACGTTGTAAATTACCGGATTGGCACATGAGTTGATGAAGAACAGGCTACGAGCCACAGTGAGAATGCCGTAGAACATGTCGTAGTCGACGCTGGCCAGCGAGGACGGAAACGTGACCAGCAGAAACACGATCGCGTTGTACGGAAGCAGGCATATGAAGTACATCAGTACGAGCACTATCAGGATGACGATCAACTGTCTGTTTATGTCCTGTTTCTGAGGTCCGAATATTCGCGATTCTGAAGTCCGGAATTCTGGAGCACCTCGCTAAAAACGATGTTTATTATACAATGAGGTTGTAAAACAACGAGCCATAAACACATATGGCTTTTTTCAGACGCATCTGGCGAAAGTTGTTGAAAGTTGTTGGCATCAAGGGAGTTTTAAGATTCAAAGTGCAGGAAAATTGAATCAGTTCACACTTGATTACTTTTAAGTTGTCTAAACCGTACCTCTTCATAGTAAACCAAACAGTCTGACTAAAAATCTGAATGAATGCTTTAAGGAGCACCATAAACGCTAACCTTTGTAAAAGGCCTGGCCAGGTATCGCCACTGCATTGTCAATTGTCACTGAACCGTCTATCCTTCCAGTTTAGAACACAGTTTTTGGGTTAAATAGACGATAGATGTGAATTACTGTGGGGGAAGGAAGAAAGCAAGTAAAATTTGCAATTACCGTTAAGCTGGAGGATTCGTTTCGCATAACGCCTACTGTCACATTTTATTGCTTGTTTG